TCATTTTGCTTTTTTTTTTTTCTTGTTACTTTCTGTTTTTTTTTTTTTTTTTTTTTTCTGTTATTTAATTGAGTGGAGTATCCACATTTACGTCGAACACCTGTCAAGCTCGTGTCATATTCCTTTTCAATGTCGTCATAATCAAAATAGACCTGAGCCTAGTTAGGCTATCTTCAACTCGTCTCCAATCTTCACTTAATCACCTTATTTCTTTACTATAATTATGTAAGTGGCTGTTTATTTAGAAACATGTTAATCCAATTATAAGTACATTTTTGCTTTGCTAGAGACCCCATCCCATAATCGTGTGCATAATGCAGCTGTCAATTGTTGTATGACGGACTATAGGACCCCCCCCTCTCGGGAATGGTGCGTAATTGTTGGGCCATTGACCAGTTATTTTTGACGCAGGGCATTGTCAAGAACCATATATGGTAAGTCACATTGCAAAATTTGGTGCTTCAATTTACAAATGACGTCATTTTCACCAAACAGTACAACGATTTTGACCAATTCCCACTGATTCACGCCATAGCCTACCGATAAATATCGCTATCCTACGGCCTGTGTTTTCTCTCTTTTTTAAAACTATTGAAAATATAAAAATATACGGTGCATGCGAAAGCCAAAAGAACCCCGTTTTTCGTGGAGCAGTATGAGTAATACACAGGCATAACCTGGTGAAGCTCTTCTATTCGTGGAAAAACATTAAATTTTGTTTTTTACGTAAATTTCAAACTATATCCCTTTAAAATGTTATCCTTTATTCCGCTCAATAATTGCATATATCGCATTGACACAGTAGAAATATTATTTTCACCGCAAACATACAGGGAGGTGGGCCCTGAACTACTGCTAGTAAACAAGCAGTCCACATGCTTGGAGCACGGAGCTTTCAATACATGAAAATTTTGAAAGCAAACTACCACGGATGCGCCAGCCAAAATATATGTTTTTCAGGTATGATATTGTTTTATCCCTTGGTTTCGCACATTAATTGTAAGCCATTCTTGTTGTCATATGACTAAAAAGCTAAAAATTGAAGCCTGCATGGACCTACGACAATCAAGCCAGCCTTTTTTACTAAAAAAACGAGACATATCGGTACATCCGTACTGTATCATGACTAACATGTCAACGGTGCGTTTTAAAAGAATTTACATATGGCAGTGATGGTTCGTCAATTTTCATGCAATGGGGGTGGGTCACAGAGGGGTGGGGGTGGGTCATAGACTTTTGATCCTACAGTAACTCACTCAGTGCTACCCCTTCAATTGCCTTGCTATTCAAATACCACCAAATGTTGATTACATTTTTTAGTATTTATTATGGATGGTTGGTTCCTCACCAATGGCAATGCCAGAGCGAGGGTAGGCCTTCTATTCCCCTCAAACCTCCCCAACCAGAAGAATTTTGTTGCAAACCCTGCCTCTGACCCACTACTATAATTGCTGCGGTAGCATGAACAGTTTTACTCCACAAATAATAATCGTTGAATAATGAGATCAACAATACAACCAATAGTAAATACATAAATACCAAAAAAAAACTAAAAAAGTAAAATAAGAAATGATTAAATCATGAATGAAAAACATAAATTTAAACTACCTGCACTTAATCGCACACGAGCCTCATTGTGATTAAGTAAATCTAAGACATGCACTTTCAATTGACTTCCAAAATTCTCAGAGCTCCATGGGTTTGCAACAAGCATGCGACTTCCCTGAAGAGCACCCTGCTTCGTCTCCCATTCCGAGTCATGACTTTGCAGTAGGCCCACGAAGTTTACTTCCAGGCTTTCGATATCGTCTGGCTCAGCAGAGTTAATAATACGCTGAAGTTCCGTCAAACCTCGATCCCTTTCTATCTTTTTGCTGCTACATAACAGCTCTTGAACAGCAGTCTTCTCCATTTTCACAATCCTATATGGTTTTACTTTAGCAAGAAGATACAAAGAACCTCAATAACCTACAGAATTATGTGCCTTTCTCTCTTCTATTTGCAGCATGTTCCATTCTTGTTGTTGTGCGCGGATGGATGGAAACATCGCTTCACTCACTGGTGGCGCTGTTGTGTAAAATAAATAAATAAGCAGGTATAACATTCTATATAAGCAGGTATATTGAACATTCTCGTATTGTAAACAGTAGTGTACACATTGAGACTTGTGAAGGTTTTAACCATATAATTGGTCTACATCTTATGACGGCTGACAATACATCCAAATAATCTCTTATTGAGTCCTTATTATTTGAAAATATTAATATTATTCATGGTTCTCTACATTGGTCAGAAATTTTATTTGCTGAAGCCTTAGCAATAAGAAGATGCCTAGTCTAAACCATGGTCTCAGAGCCTCTAAAGAGCTTGCATTATTCACATAGCATAAGTGCTAACTTGCTTTTGTTCAAATAATCATTTGTTTATCACAATCTTATTTTGTTTATCAATTTATTTATCAGAATATCATTTGTCTCCATGTTCCGCCTACCTCTTTCTAGTTGGTCAAAATTAACCTTGTATTGATTTTTGGTATGTTTTTCAGTATTTTTGGACTTAAACTATTAATTCATTCTTGACAATGTTCCAATAAAGAACGAAACGTAGAATCAACTATGGCCTCACGTCTGTCATTTTTCGGAGTCACCATACTCATATTCTACAGGTGTATAAAGTATGCCAAAACAGGCTTCGGTCATGTTCGATTTCCATAACCGCGCTACGTCTGTTTGGAGTCTACTATTTCATTTCGGGTAGATCGTAGAGAAATAGGCCGGGGTACAAATGTATGAGGCGCCAAGTGTAAATTTATTATTTAACACAATTATTTATAATAATTCATTATTTAACATATAATTGACTAGATCACCCATTATTTATATATAGTGCATTTACGTCTAAAAGATTATATGTAAATAACTGCGTTAACGTTTCATTATTTATATATAATTAGTTTACTGAATACATTATCTATAAATAATGAAAGGCTAACCAAACATTATTTATATATAATAAGGTTACTGGCTTCATTATATATAAATAAGGAAGGGGAAACACATCATTATATATAAATAATGAAAAATAACTTACAATTATTTATATATAATAAGTTCACTGATTCCATTATATATAAATAATGAAAAGGTAACAAATCATTATATATAAATAATGAAAATTAACTTACAATTATTTATATATAATAAGTTCACTGATTTCATTATATATAAATAACGAATTGACTTCAAAGTCATTATTTATAAATAACTGCTTTTACATTTCTTTATAAATAAATATTAGCTGCCGCAAAACCATAATGCTTGGATTTCAAACTCATTACAGTATATATAATGCACACGTGTTATCGTGTCAAGGTCATTATATCTAAATAATGGTTTTTACTTCCAATTATATATAGGCCAATTATATATAGGCCTAAATAACCGTTGAAGTCGAGTGCCATTATACCTAAATAATGACATCGTAGGAAGCATGGTTTATAAATAATTCGTTATGCAAATTACGAAGTAATAAATATTCACCAGTGCTCTAAAGTTACAA